GGTGATGTTCAGAATGTGTTGCGAAATGCGTGCCTTAATTCCGCTAAATTTTCAGTTGGAGCACGAACACAACATCCTTCAATATCCCCTCAGCCAGAAATGACACGGAGTAAGATCAGCGATCGGGACGGCCAGGCTGTAGGGAAATGACGGCTGATAATTCGAGCATTTCCGATGTGGCGCCTCAGCAGCTGCTTCACGGGATGTGCAATGTGGGCGGAGAGAGCCATCTTGCATAAAATGATTTCATCCACACATCTACGCTGTTGCAAGCTGGAATCACGTGGTTGCGCAAAATCGATGCATACCTCTGACCAGTGACGGTTGCGATAACAGGACCGGAAGCACCCGTCTGCTCGAAAAAATACGGTTTAGATGAATGATGCCGTAAAGCCACACCATAAACCGTGACCTTTTCAGGATGAAGTGGTACGGGGTGCGTTGCCAGTGGATTTTCTGTTGCCCATATTCGACAATTCTGGGTATCAGTATCCTATCAGATGGAATGGGCTTAATCTGTCCACACAATTTTCCACGGCCATTCATTATCCCTTCCATGCGAGCCAGGAATTAACGCAAAAGTCTCCTAGCTGTCAAGTCAGACGGAAATCACTCCTGCACATGGCCCAATTTTGTACGGATAGCATTGCAGGATGTTTCGTACAATTTTCAGCAGTGTGCTCGTAGGCCTGTCTAGTGTTCCGGCAATTCCTCGTGCATTGCACTGTTGCACACCACCGGCCGACCCCTCCTGTAATGCTGTGACCATTTCTTCAACTACCGTCGAATACACTCGTTTTCTCCCTCTACCAGATTACACATCAAACGAACCTGTCGTTTTGAATTTTTGCATTATTTTCTTTAGATCCACGACACTCATTGGACCAACGCCTTCTTCTATATCCTTTAGTGTCCTGAATTTTTGCAGAACTACTCTTGCACAATCATCATTCTTGTTCAACAGCTACCAGCAGACGCGATCCTGAGGAACAGCGAACTTGGACCTGCTGGGAACAACCTGGTACCTGCAGCTTATAACACTGAAATTTAACTAACATTTTAATTTACGTCTTCTTCCGCTTGCAGTGCCATCTGTTGCTAACTTTTGAAACTAAATTTTTCTTCTTGCCATACGCTTTCCGCCTTCTTCAATAACATTCCTTTCAAATTTGATGTCATTTCCATGAGTGGTTCTTTTTTTATAGCGTTTTGAAACTTAAACTTTAATTATAATCACCCTGTATATATATATATGAAGTATATATGTAGTACATTTAGGTACTACATGTACCTGGAGTATATTTAGACCTTTCAAAGATTACACGGCCATCACATCTCCAGTTCTGCTTGTCTCAGAATATTTTCTGTGTTGGAATTATTTCATGAGATAATGATAAGGCTCTATGAAAATGCATAAATTTCAGAGGGGAGTATATGTAGTTTTCTTTCACAATTTTAAATTGAATACTAAGTTCAAATAAGTTTAATACCATAGTTTATCATAATTTTAAACATATTATTCATCATATTGGTAATTTGCATTAGATGTATATAAATTACAACAAAACTTATTTCATGCTACTGATAATTTAGTATCTAAAAGCTGATGGCGTAACAAGTGCATATAGAAGAATTTGGATTATTTTATGCATAATAACGTGTTTACTTGCATAATAACCCCACTTTTTTTGCCAATTTTTTGTTGTGAAAGTCTTAGTGCAACTATTATGCAGGGAAATTTACTATCCAATGTTGTACAATTTTGATGATTATTTTTGTATTTCGAAATGGAAGTGCGACTATTATGTGCATAAATATGATATTAGTTAAAATTTCTTAAGCAAAATGTAAGGTTCGAAAGTACTTAAGCTACCTGATTCTTATGTAACATGAAGCTTTTAGAATGCATGTAGGAGTTCTCAAGCACTATATTTATTAGAACAGGGAAATTATTTGACTGATGTGTTTTTAATTTAAACTTCTGTACAAAGATCTGACTAAAGATTGAATTTGACTTAAGAAGAATCCTTAGAAGCTTTAAATTTATATCTTCCATAAGGGGTATTAAACGAACATAGTTCAGAACTAATTTCATCTAGTGGTACATGCCAAAATCCATCTTTTAGATCTACAACTGAAAATACTTTTTTTACCTTCTAACCTACAAATTATATCATCTGGAGAAAGAATTTGATAGTGTTCCCTTTTAATTACTCCATTTAGATCTCTAGGATCCAAGCATAATCTAAGATTCCCATTAGGTTTTTCAACTGTAACCAAACTTTGAACCCAATCAGTTTGTTTATTTACTTTCGATAATATCCCTTCTCTTTCAAGTTTATCTAAATTATCTTTTAATTTAGGCTGTAAAGCCTGAGAAGCACGTCTTGGGGATGTATTACTGGTATTGCATCATCTTTAAGGGTTATATGATATGGTTCATCAGGAAATTGCCCTATAACTGTAAATACGAGGGTTGGAACTTTAATAGTGGCAACACACTGAAAAACGCTACGCCAAAAACCAAAGAATATCGCATATACCACACATAAACCTACCTACCTTACCTCTCAGCAAAGACTCGTCCTGCCTATTTACGCACATGCAAGTGATGCGAAGAACGATCCTTGTATTAGCTCGCGTCTAAAGTAAGTGTTGTCGTGTTTTCAAACAAGAACAACGATGTTGGATAAAAATTGAATGTGCCAGAGTCGTACGCATGACAGTGTCTCAAGGCTTCAGAGGCTTGGGGGAATCTGCATTGGCCTTACAGAACTGTAGCAAATGGGGTGAAAGCATTCAATAAAGGATGCCAATGTGGCAGACATGCTGCGGCCAGTCATCCGAGTGTCACGATGCAGACGTGCAAGCCTGTTGCCGCACTATGGAGAGTGATCGCCTGCAACGATTCACATCAGCTGGCTGGACAACAGGATTAGCGCATATACTGTGCTGCACATTCTGAAAAACCCTGTCCATGAGAAAATTGCTTCACGGTGGGTTCCACATCAATTGACGGAATGGCAGAAATGGCTACGATGCTGCCCCGCCCCGAACCCACCTGGAGCGCTATGAGCCTAAGGAGATGCTTTTTTACGCTGGATGAGACTTGGGCCCGATCGTACCAGCCAGAAGACTGAAACGCCAATCAAATGAATGGTGTCATCACGGGTCACCACGACGTTCGAAATTTCGTCAGAAACCCCAGCAATGTGAAAGTTGGTGATTTCTCGTGTACGACTGTGATGGGTGTCATCCTAACTCATACCGTTCCCCCCCACACAGACCGTCACTCTGCGCAGTATTACTGCTCATTTTTGGAGGAGCACAACTCCGACCAACTTGAAAAAAAACGGCAACACTTTCTGCAGAACGCTCCTCTCAATTTTGCATGACAATGCTCGGCCGCATGCAGCGCAAGCTGTGACTGATTTGTTAGAGCGATGGGCCTGGGAGTGCATTATCATCCACCATACTCCCCCAGATCTAAAGCCTTGTGACTAGACTTAATTCCTAAGTGAAGGAACACTTCGTGGCACTCTTTTTCCAAACTGTTCCTGATTCTTCGGCAGGACCGGTCCATTCAAATACAAAACGTCTGCTACAGTATCTGCACTTCCACATCTTGAAACGGTTTACACTCTGCGACTTATTAGGACTGAAAACATATGCAGATCACTTTTGTATTCCTTGTAATAATGTGCCCTATTAAAGTTCCACCTCGACATTTATACTGAGCAATTAAATCATTTTTATTAATGATATTGCACTTTAAGGAATCAATCCTTTCAATTAGCTTTAATGCAGAACAAGCTGTTAACCCTAATATAGGCTTAGATCTTACATCAAGAACATAAAACTGTAAAGGTACATTCTTAAGCCTTTCAGTTGAACAATTAATTATAAGAGTACCTTCTGGTTTTAACTTAAAATTACCATATGCAGTTAAGAACAAATCAGTTTCATTAAGTTTAGGCTTAAGTTTAACATTATTTAAAACATACAAAGGCAAAATATTTACTTCTGCACCAGTATCTAACTTAAAATCAACCTTGAAAGACTTATTATTTACATACATTGTAATACTTTTCACCCATGTTTCACTTACCTTGTGAATATCCTTATTTACTTCATCAATAGAATTTGTTAGATCTTTGATTGATTTTGCACTTATTTTAAATTCACTATGCCCGTTTACTGGTGGATCTATCATTACAGAGTCAGCACATACACTATGTTCATTATATGTACCAAATAATGAATTTGGTATTCCAACTTCATATATGTTCTTGGGGCACCTTGCGGCCTCTTTACTTTGCATTTCACACATGTCTTTCCGAAAGCTGGACAGTCCCGATATTTGTGCCTTCTTCCGTATTTCTTGCAGCCCTATTCTTCTGCTGCAATGACAACTTTGGGGGCAATGACTGTTTTGATTGATGCTGCTGTTTTCTATATTTCTTCACGCTGTTCACAGTTGCTGGATCATCTTTCATGTTCCGGAGTTACTCTCTGCTTGTTTCAGCGGCACAGACTATTTCTATAGCTTTTTCTAATCCCAAGTTAGATTCTCGAAGCAAACGTTCGGTCAGACTCCTATCCCAAATGCCTAATACAATACCGTCGCGAATCAATCCATTTTCTTGTTCAGCAAACTCACAAGTTGACGCTAAAGTCTTTAACTGAGTGACATAACATTCAATTTGTTTGTCCTTCTTGCTGGCTACACGAAAAGAATTTGTAACGTTCATATACGACATTCTGCCGTGGTGGTGAACAATAATCTTCAAAAGACTTCAAGACCTCTTCGTACTTCTCTTTATTCTCAGGTGGCTCAAATCAAAATGTGTTATAAATTTTGAATCCTTCAGTACCGAGTAAATTCAAAAGAATTGCAATTTTAGTCATATCTGGCTTGGCATCTTTTTCCGTTGCAAGTAAATAGATTTCTAGCTCTTGCTTCCATTTTTTTCCATTTTCTTTAACATTTCTGATGGAGCATGTCAGCAGAGCAGGTGGTCTGAAATCCATTTTGCTCCTGACACCGTGTAACTTCTTGTTTAGTTTGTTCCACTTAATAACTTCTATGCTTTCAAATATTTTTAAACAGAGTTCACATGACATTAAGCTAAGCACAACAACACGTGCATCATAACAACAGAATAGCATAGCATGAACGCCGTTACAGTTACAATCGTTTTAAATATACATCACAAAGTATAACTTTTGATTCTGTAAAGGTTGCTGCAAGTATTTGTAATGTTCATTTTTAGTTTTATATCTTAGCACTTAGATAAACTGAGCCATAGTTCTTAAGTTCAGTTTGTTGCAAATGTGTGTGCTTAGTAAGACTATTCTTGAACTTATTTACTCTTTCAATTATTCATCTGAATACACTTTTTCAGAAATTGTTTTATGTATTTAGAAGATATGCTTAAGTGACAAGTTCTAATCTAGTTATTTTTATTTTACAGCTCTTTGGATTGGAAGTATCATTACAGAAAGAGAGTGAAAAAGTATTTTCTTTGCCTAATATCATTAATAATACTAGCTTGACTCTCTTCTCGAGGTCATTAGTGTGTCCAGATAATTGGACTTGTCAGAAAGATCTTCCATTGAAAGAAAGTTCTGTTGAATGTGGTAATTTAAGTATGCAGCTTTCTGAAACTCAGTTTATAGAAGTAATCAGTATTTACCAGTCATGGACTGCAAACTGCTTTAATCCTGCAGGACTTGAAAAACTGAAAATAGCCAAGGAATTATCAAATAGTAAGGAATTTTTTATTATTTGTACTATGTTTTTTGAGTTTACAGTTTTCCTTAACATTGTAAAGACCACTAGGTTTATTGAAGCAGGAAACATGGAACATGTGCAATGCCTTTGCTGTCATTCAAACTCTGAACTTCTGAATCTTCTGACTGCTAGCTGAACATGCTCTCCAGTTACATTATGAAGGCATGTGGTAAGGAGGGGGAAAATACATTCTCCTCCCACTTAAAGGGTGAGTGAGGAGGAAAGGATCTAATTGCCAAATTGTGCTGGTGATGAATTATCGCATCCATCAGTCCATCGCATTTTAGTTTGGGTGCCACTTGCCATTCAGTCTTAGCTGCCCCCCTTTTTTTTAAGTTGGGAAACCCCTCACTGGAATTTGAATTCCAAACCTTCCTGTGGTAGCTAGATTTTTTTTTTTTTTTTTTTTTTTTTTTTTTTTTTTTTTCAATTTTGCCATAAAGACATGTGGGGAAGGAAGAAGTTTACCTTACTACATCAGGGAAAATCCTTAAAAAAATTAGGCAAGAATATTCAGAAGTAGCAGCATTTTTCATTTTACAACTATCTGTTTAATTTCTTAAGTCTGAATCTTCAAACATTTGTCTAAATTTTTTGCAAATATTTTGATCATGTAAATTTCCAAAATAGATATTTTACTTTTATGCTGAATTTTTTAAACCTGCATATTTTTCAAGTCTCGATTACGTGTGATTTTTTTCCTTTTAATATATTGAAAGTAACAAAGCTTATTTACAAGTTTTGATCATGTTTTGTTCAAAATTATGTGAATTGAACACTTAACACTTTGGCTTTGTTTAAAAGAGAACATTTCTCTTTGTCTGTCTTTGGGAGTTCTTGATTAAAGAACTTTGAAAATGCATAAAACCATCTCTTAACTTTCTAACATAAAAACAATTTCTGTAATATAGATGAAAGAGCAACATTTTATTTTATTTCAATATGTAATTTTTGTCAAAAGCATGCTTTGAATAGTGATTTAAATCAACTAATTATTTTATAATAGCTTCGTGAATTTTGCATGCAGATTCACCGGTACGCTATGAAAAGTTTTACAAATACATTTTTTTTTTTTTTTACATTTTATTTTATAAATAGGTTAGCAAATTTTAATTACATGTTTCATTTTATAGAAAAAAAATTATGCAGAAACAAGAAAACATTAAAAAAATCTTTAAAAAGTCATAGCAGTTACATAAAATAATGAATGATTTTAATTAATTACAATTTATGCAAGAATCTGCTACACATTACTTTCTTCTTTCACATCAGTTGATCTCCTATAAGATTCTAATACCTAGTGGTGAATTTTCAAAAATGTTATTAATAAGGTTTATGATTAAATTTTATTAAAAATTTTCCATGTAAAATGATTGTCATTAAATCTCAAATATGCTGATCAGTGATGATATTATCAAAGATCTTGTTGGGGATATATTATTCTTTGAGCTTCAGCACTAGTAACAGCAATATTCTAATATTTTTAGCTTTCTTCGCCCTATTAGGAACTTTGTTATGCAGTTTTCCTATTAAAACCATCTCAACAAAATACCAAAAATCATTGATTTTTATTTCGTTCTTTAATATGATATTTTAATGTTTTCTTTTTTTACTTTCTGGCCATGGGTATGTTACTTTTGTGTTTTGTGGCTGTAAATAACAAACATTAAAAATCACTTCAATTTGTCAGTTTGTCTCCAATTTTTGTTTTTGCTGGATAATTAATTTGCTACAATAATATGTTTTATGAAGGCATCACGGGACATTTCATTAATTTTTCTCGCAGGAATTTGCAAAATTTTATCTTGCTTTCAATTGTAAATCCTTTAGATTTTTAAAATTTTAACATCTAATTAATTTTAAATGCGTATAGTGTTCAGAATTTTTAAAATTATTAATAGCATTGATTGTTCTCATGGTTAATATATTCATAATTCTAAACATTTCACATTCAGGGATCTGTTTAAAAACCCCTTATTGTTCGATGCAAAATCCTTGTATAAAGCATTGTAGTTCCTGTATACAGTAAGAACCATTTATAAACTACACGCTGTCCATTGGGATCCAAATACATGACATTTTTTTAAGGCAACTTGTGACAAAAAGTCATAATTATCAAGAATCATTTTGAAATGTTTGATTTCATTATTTTTTTCAATTTTGTAAAATTAGGTGAGAACTTTAGGAGTAATTCAAGAATGTTGTTTGGCACTTTTTTTCCCTCTCTCTGCCTCACTTAGTGAACCCTTCGGTTAAAGTTAACTTTTTTATTTTCCCTTTCGCTCTCCTTAATGCAGAAAGAGAATTTTTTCCTCATTGAAAATATTTTTCTGTGTATTTACATTTTTTAATTGCAGTTGTTATTTTTAAGATATCTTTTTTTTTTTTTTTTTTTTTTTTTTTTTTTTTTTTTTTTTTTTTTTTTTTTTTCCCCCCCTTAAGAATTTCATTGTAATTATTTGAGTCACATAGTTGAATGTTGAATTATATTTCTTCAAGTAATTATTAAAAAAATTCTATTTATTCATTCGGACTTGAGAACTTTAAGCATATATTCATATAAATATTTTTTTAATTTGATTTTATTTATTTGAATTGTGTTTCTTTTGAACGACTAATTTGTGACCCAGCATTCATCACAATGACTTTGAAAACTGCATAATACTATAAAACGCAGTTAATGTATCTTTTTATGGTCCATTCAGAGAAAATATATGCAGCAAAATTGCAATTATCAGGAAGCATTGGAAGTGCTTGAGTGCAAGATATGTGAAAATTCTGTATAGTTGACTATAATTTCCAGTCTAAAATTATAAAAACGATTATCTTATTTTTTACCAGCATAAATTCAATAGCCTACATTTAAAATTATATAAGATTCCAGGGGAAAGGGAAATGTATCTCGGACATAAAAGCTGACTTCACAAACCTTAAACATGAAAATTGGCAAAGATGTCGCCAAACTTGTGCCATTCATTCCAGCAGAAGTTTAAAAAAATAGGTCTTTATTTAGTTAAATAATAAATGATACAAATTACAGATTTGACATTTAAAACCTTAAACTGCTTGTCGTAATATTTCTTGTTGCATCATGATTGTTTATCTATTTTTAATAAAGCCATATATTGTGCCTTTGAGGAAAATTAACCTGTAACTTTAAAGTGTCTCATGGAAGGCAGGTTTCCATATATTATGTACATGCTAATGGGGTACTGTTCTGTTACCGGGAGCTGTTCTACTAAACTTGCCAAGAGATTGATTTTTATGAAGTCGCCAATGTTTACTTTTAAAATTGTTACAATGTTTATATTTTAAAAAAGTAAGAGAATGCATTTCAAAATTTTTAATGAGAATACAAATTTTAAAGACGTAATGGTCACATTTGTTTTTATTATTTTTGCATTTACCATGGATTTGAAAATTTGTGATTTTCTTCTGGGATGTGGAATTTTTCATTCTGGAAGAAAGCGCAGAAAACCACCAAATGAAGTTCTATTTCAGTTCGAAAGAAGCACCGGAATAGAGCTGTGAAGATCCAGATTTGAACATTTTTGCATCAATCATAAGTATAATTTTATCGGTCCCGATACTAGTTATCATACTCAAACTTTTGAAAAGTTACAGGACAGCGCTAAACAGACTTCAACGTGACACTGAATGTAACCAATTAGATTCTTATTTGAATTAATGTGGCGGCAGCAGTGTTCTAAAATGCAAATCTTTTGAGACATTTTAAATGATATCCACAGTTTCTTGACTCCACATTAATTTTAATTAACTAAATTCTCTCTTTTTTTTCCATTTAATTTCTTTGGTAAGTTGCGTAATTTACATTAAAAAATTTTAACTGTACGAATATCTATTATGTTATTTTTTCCTTTAAATTTTTCTTCAACTAAACTGTATTGTACGTATTTTGGTGATTATTTTTATGCTCTAACTGATAAACCAGATCATCAGCTTTTGGCGATATCTGAATCTGGTTCCGATAACATAACAGTACCAGTAATACTATAACAAGCTCTATAACGGCATAACAAGTCTCTCATTTTCTTTCTTAATTTTCGCTTTCTTAATTTTTTGAAAATTTATTTCTAAAATCTAGAATTCTGAATAGTTGGACTTTTACTGTAAATCAGAGAAACGTGTAATCATCATTTTAATTTAGAATTATATTCATACTCACAATTTTCTACTGCTTTATACAATTTTATCATTATGCCATTTCTTTGCACAATTTTATCATTCTACTTTTAATTTGTTAAAATATCATCCATTTTTGAGTTCGAATTTTTCATTTCTTAAATTGTAAAAATCAAACAGTATAACATAAAAAAGGTAAATTACACGAGAAAAAGTAAATAAATAAATAAATAAAATAAGAAATTAAAAAATTTTAAAAATATTCTGAAAGGTTCAGATTTTAATGGTTATCCAAAAGGGCTGTTTAATATGTTTTATTAGTAGAAGTAATCAATAGAGATGGCCCAAGTATGTAATTCTTTGGATAAATTTTGAATCTTCAATGAATGGGGTCCCTACGGCTGAGTGGTAAATTCACTGAACACTGGTACTTAGGCCCGAAATTCAAATCCCACAAACAAGCTGGCTGCATGGGTGTTTTCATGGTTTTCCCCTTGTGTAGCATGTATACAAGCCAGTTTCCCTTACAAAGGTCTCCATGAAGGTATCCCTACTCTTTGGCAGATAGTCCTTGAGTGCTTTGCCTTCATCAAATAAACCAAGCTTCAATGAATTCAGCTGAGACATCTTTGGATTCTTCACTATCTTTTGACGTGATATTCTTCAATGTAATTTAAATTTGTTTGGCCATTCATTTGGAAAACAATTGCCCTTCATATTCGCCTAAGATGCTTCTTTTATATCTTTACCTTTAGAAAGGTAGTTTCCAACCAGTGGCATAGTTGGGAGAGGAGCAATGGAGATATCTATCTCTAGGCACAGCATTCCCATT